TAGAGCTTTTCTTTGGAAACATGATTTTTTTTTCTCTACATTGATTATACGTAAGAACCTCAGACTTAAAAACCTTTTTTTTTGTTTTTTTTGGTTTTTTTTTTTTGAGACAGAGCCTCACATTGTTGCCCGGGCTAGAGTGAGTGCCGTGTCGTCAGCCTAGCTCACAGCAACCTCAAACTCCTGGGCTCAAGCAATCCTCCAGCCTCAGCCTCCCAAGTAGCTGGGACTACAGGCATGCGCCACCATGCTGGCTAATTTTTCTCTATATTAGTTGGCCAATTAATTTCTTTCTATTTATAGTAGAGACGGGGTCTGCTCTTGCTGGTTTTGAACTCCTGACTCCCAGCAATCCGCCCGCCTCGGCCTCCCAGAGTGCTAGGATTACAGGCGTGAGCCACCAAGCCCGGCCAAACCTTTTGTTTTTTGGGACAGGGTCTTGCTCTGTTGCCCTGGCTAGAGTGCCGTGGTGTCATCATAATTCACTTCAGCCTCAAACTCCTGGGCTCAAGTGATCCTCCTGCCTCAGCCTCCCAAGTAGATGGGACTATAAGAGTGCACCACAGGCCAGGGGCAGTGGGTCACGCCTGTAATCCTAGCACTCTGGGAGGCCGAGGCGGGCGGATTGCTCAAGGTCAGGAGTTCAAAACCAGCAAGAGCAAGACCCCGTCTCTACTATAAATAGAAAGAAATTAATTGGCCAACTAATATATATAGAAAAAAATTAGCCGGGCATGGTGGTGCATGCCTATAGTCCACCTACTCAGGAGGCTGAGGCAGGAGGATTGCTTGAGCCCAGGGTTTGAAGTTGCTGTGAGCTAGGCTGACGCCATGGCACTCACTCTAGCCTGGGGGAGGTTGCAGTGAACTACAGTGACGGCATGCACTCTACCAAGGGTGACACAGGGAGACCCTGTCTCAACAAAAACAAACAAACAAGGCAACTACACACCCCTCCCCATGACACCCCACCCCACTACAAAAAAATTAATTTTTTTTTTAAATTAAAAATAACCAGAGTGATTATCAACGGACTTCAGAAGCCATACAGATACTGGGCACGGAGGCCCATGCCTGTAATCCCAGCACTCTGGGAGGGCGAGGTGGATGACTGTTGAGGTCAGGAGTTAGAGACCAGCCTGAGCAAGAGTGAGACCGAGACCCTGTCTCTATAAATTATTTTTTTAAAAACAATACGGAAAGTTACACGGATGTAAAAACTTTAACCCTTTTAAAGCTTAGTTTTCCTAAATAATTAGAAGCCTAATTAAAGCAACACAGGAAAGGAATGTAAACAAGAGAACTAACTGGTGTCTTGGGCAAGGGAGTAGGTGACTCAGTGACAGCAGGGAAGCGTCCTGATTACGTGGAGCAATTCTGCACGTCAGGAAAAGCCAAGAGCACAGAACCAAGTCACGCTGAAGAAAAACATGACTTTTCTAGGCCTCCAAAGTGAATATTTCAGAAAGTTGCCAGAGCCGATGAGAACGCCAAGGCGGCTACATCCCAGGCGGCTACCTCCCCCCTTCTCAAGGGGCGAAAACCGAAGGCAGGACGCGTGACCTGCACGTGGCCGGGAACAGCAACAGCTGAACTTCTGAGATGTGAAGGAGACGCTTCGAAAGCAAAACTCTGCCTCAAGAAATGAAATTACCATTTTAAAGCTGAAACTGGGGAAAGTAAATAGATCTCAGGAAGAAGATGGCTATTAAACAGATTGTAAAATTAGAAAAACCTCTTGCAGTTTTATTAAGAACATGTCACTACTTTAAGAAAACCTTGTGTGTAGAGAGGGCCTTTAAACCACAGTTTCCTTCCAGCCCGCCAACCTGACCACACACGAAGCTGGCTTCAGGGCTCACCGTTCATAGACCTTCCTGCTCACGCCTTCTGTGTCTCTCCTAAATCCCCAGTCTTAGTCTGATAACTTCTAAATTTTGGAACAACCAAAAATTTTTTATGACAAAAAAATCACTGTATGAGATTTTTTACTGTGGGCCGGGCGCGGTGGCTCACGCCTGTAATCCTAGCACTCTGGGAGGCTGAGGCGGGCGGATTGCTCGAGGTCAGGAGTTCAAAACCAGCCTGAGCAAGAGCGAGACCCCATCTCTACTATAAATAGAAAGAAATTAATTGGCCAACTAATATATATAGAAAAAATTAGCCGGACGTGGTGGTGCATGCCTGTAGTCCCAGCTACTCGGGAGGCTGAGGCAGGAGGATCGCTTGAGCCCAGGAGTTTGAGGTTGCTGTGAGCTAGGCTGACGCCACGGCACTCACTCTAGCCTGGGCAACAGAGTGAGACTCTGTCTCAAAAAAAAAAAAAAAAAGATTTTTTACTGTAAAATTGATTTATTTTACATTTATATATTGATTAATAGACCTCAATATTTAGTCTTTTTATAAAGCCTAAGTGGCCCAGAATGAACTTTGGGTCGGTGAGCGATGGCCACGGGCACAGTTAGTGCTAGAGTTGCGGAGGGTTGTTTCAGCAACTGTTAGGTAAGACTGGTTTCAGGTTACAGCAGGAGTTTCAGCAACTGGGCTTGTGGAGAATTACATTTTTGGAGCAACCTTATGTTTCCTGAGTGCTTTCCCCCTGGCTTCTCAACTCTGTTTTAGTTGGGCGTGACAAGAGTGACCCGATTCAACTTTCACATTTGTGCCGCTGACCGGGGCCCAGCGTGCCTCCTCGGGTGGTGTGGCAGCGGGGCGAGTGCCTTCGTGGGGCCGGTGTCCTCCGCCGTCTCGCCCTCACCCTCGCAGGGCTGTGCTGGACCTGCAGGTGGTTCATCTTGACCGTGGCTGCTTTTCTTTCTTGTTCTCGTTTCTTCCCCCAAGTATGACTTCATTAAGGTGGTGGCGTTATCACTGTGCAAAGAGCTGCCTCTTGGCCAGCCCCAGCGGTGGGCAAGGGGGTGTGAGAAGTGTGCACGCCTGCTTTGGGGCACGCCTGTGGGGTTCACAGGGGACCTGTCGTGGACTTTGGGGTGGAAGCAAACACCCCGCTTACTTTCCTGTTTTAACATCACTTCCCTAGCCATCGACGAGTACAAGCCCCAGGATGCCACCACCAACCCGTCCCTGATCCTGGCCGCGGCGCGGATGCCCACCTACCAGGAGCTGGTCGGGGAGGCCATTGCCTATGGCAGGAAGCTGGGCGGGTGAGTCCTTGGGTTTGGGGGATCCATCGTGGCCCCCAACACGAGTCTAGTTGGCCTTGTTCCCCTCCCTAACTGAATTTTAGTTCCCAAATATTATGAACTCAAGGAAAGAAATCCATCTTTTTTGCCTGTTTTGTTTAAGTTTTTGTTTGTTGTCTGTTTGCAGAGAGTGAACTGCAGTGTGCAGTTCAGCCGGTCTCCCCGTTGTGCCCACCCCCGTAAGCTCCCCAGCCAAGACGCAGAACATCCGCAGACCCCAAAGTCTCTCCTCTTTTGTAGTCGGCCCCCCGCAGCACTGGTCTGTCTACGGGCTGTCATTTTATTATTTTTTAACAGCCTCAATGGAGTGAAATTCACCGTCTATGTGGGTAGGCCAGTGAGTCTGGTCAGTTTTTGCCGTGATGTAGCTGTCACCACGGTCCAGTTTTGCAACATGTTACCTCCTAGAATGTTCCCTGGTACTTGGGTGCAGTAGGTCCCCACTCCCTCACCCAGGCAACCACAGATTGCTCTTCATGCCCGCAGATTTGCATTTTCTTTTTGTTTTGTTTTGCTTTTGGAGACAGGGTCTCACTCTATTGCCTAGGCTGGAGTGCAGAGGAGTCGTCATAGCTCACTGCAGCCTCACACTCCCAGGCTCCAGCGACGCTCCGCCTTGGCCTCCCACAGTGCTGGGATTACAGGCTCACACCACTACGCCCAGTGAGATTTGCATTTTCTATATGTAAATTTTTTTCAGAGTAATGACACCCAGCTTGAGAGTGGTGCTGAGCAGGTAGTTGGGCCTCACTCAGGCAGGAAGGTCCCTTCCTGATGCCTGCTCTGGCTATGTCCACGTGGCCTGCAGGCTACCATCCTCAGCCACATGGGACAGCTGCTCTGGACACTTGGACGCCGAATCTGGCCCCTGCCTGCCCCATCTTAGCCCCCTTTCCTTTTTCTCCTCTCTTGGTGGTGGTGCACCCCACATGGCACTTGATAGGCCGTGGTGCTCCTGGTGTTGTGACAGCCTGTGGTGCCTTTGCTGGGCCGGGTGACCCAGCCAGCCACGAGTTCTGACCCCTCACCCTCGGGCTGAAGCTCCATCGGTGGGCAGGGGCTGGCGAGGCCCCTCAGAGAGGGATTCATTCTGGGACAACACGCACACTTCCCCTGCGGTCTGACCAGGCCGCTTCAGAGAGATCAGAAAGATAATTTTTTGCAAGTGCCAAGAGATGGATTCAGCTTAGGCGTGCGATGAAAACAGTTGTGGAGGTGGGTGGTGGTGATGGTGGAGAGACATTAGGAATACACTTAACACCACCACACTAAAAAATGGGTGAGATGGCAAATCTTATCTTGCATTTCATAATTAAAAAATGTTTATAAAGAAAAGAGATGGGAAGAGATTTTGCAAAGTAATAACTGAATTTGTTTTGCAGAATCTTGTGTACTTGAACATCACAAACTAATTTTTTTCCTTTGAATTTCAGCTCACAAGACGACCAGATTAAAAACGCTATTGATAAACTTTTTGTGCTGTTTGGAGCAGAAATACTGAAGAAGATTCCAGGCCGGGTATCCACAGAAGTAGACGCCAGGTGAGGCTGTTTCCTGCCGAGCGTCAAAGTGCTCAGGGGTTTGCTCCTCCCGAGCTCCTCCAGTCAGTGCCAACACCGGGAGCTCTTACCACTTGATCTCTAGTCTGATTTTGAATAAAATCCCAGCCTACGGCTCGCACTAGAGACCTTTGAGACTTTCGAGATGTCTGTAAGGAATGGAAAGAAAACAAAATAATTTATTTTTTTGAGACAGAGTCTCACTCTGTTGCCTGGGCTGGAGTGCCGTGGTGTCAGCCTAGCTCACAGCAACCTCAAACTCCTGGGCTCAAGCAGACCCACTTGCCCAGCCTTCTGTTTTTTTTTTTTTTTTTTTTTTTTTTTTTTTTTTTTTCACACCCGGCTGATTTTTTCTATATATGTTTTTAGTTGTCCAGCTAATTTATTTCTATTTTTAGTAGAGACAGGGGTCTCACTCTTGCTCAGGCTGGTTTCGAACTCCTGACCTTGAGCGATCCGCCTGCCTCAGCCTCCCAGAGTGCCAGGATGATAGGCGTGAGCCACCGCGCCCAGCTGAAAACAAAATAATTTGGAAAAAAAAAAGAAAACAAGGAACGTTGAGGTTGGGTTTAGAGCTGGCTCTCAGAGCCGCACTGGGCAAGCTCAAGGGGCAGGCGAGTGGGGAGGGGCGGCTCGGGCGGACAGACAGCCGCTGCCAGCTGGCGCTGCCTGGCGGGCGTCCGCATGATCTGAGTGGATGGGGTCCCCTTGCTCTCTCAGGCTCTCCTTCGATAAGGACGCCATGGTGGCCCGAGCCAAGCGCCTCATAGAGCTCTACAAGGAAGCTGGGGTCAGCAAGGACAGAATTCTTATCAAGCTGTCATCAACCTGGGAAGGGATTCAGGCTGGAAAGTAAGTGTCCCGGGGGCGGCACATGGCGTCAGGCGCATTTCACCTCTCAGCCTTGGGGGGCCGGAGCGGGGGCACAGCCCCCAGGGGCTGCAGCTGCGCCAGCTCCCTTGCCCGTTGGTGTTTGCGCACGAGGGCTTTCCCGGGAAATGCCGTTTCGCCCCATCCAGCAGAACAGCAAAGCCTCCCGTGAACACGTGCAGATTTCGTCTTCCGTTCCTCCGTCCTGAGCCACGCAAGCTTAAATTTACATAGTGTTTAAACAGTAAACTGCTATACAGAGTGCGTGCTCAGAACTGAAGAGACAGAAAACAGCGATAAAAAGTAAAGCTGCTCTGTGCCGTTCCTGCCAGCAGTAGCAACGCTGCTGTGCTTGGAGAGCTCGAGGCGTGGTGTTTCCACGCGTGTCCACGTGTTTCATGTTCCGCCAGCACACCCCAGCCACAGCCACCGGTCTGCTTTCTCTCTGGCTCTGCCGGTTTCAGACATTGCTCACAAACATGGCTTTTGTCTCTGGCTTCTCTCACTCCATGTGTCAAGCTGCGTGCATGCTGTGGCGGGTGTCAGTGCTGTGTCCCTTTCCGTGGGTGGGTGCTGTCCCTCATACGGACAGACCACGCTGACATTCATCTGTGGATGGGCACTTGGCCGGTGTCCACCTTCAGAGTTGCAGTGAGCAGCCCTGCTGTGAGCACGGGTGTGCACGTTTCGCTGTGGACGCAGGAGTGGAGTCGCTGAGTCACGTGGTAACTGTTTGACCGCTTGAGGAACCTTGGACTGGTTCCCAGCGTGGCTGCGCTATCTGCCATTCCCCAGCTTGGTGTGTGCTGTAGCTGCCCTGGACATCCCCACCCAGGGTGGCCATGTGGCAGTGGCACCTCTGAAGCTGGTGGTTGGGCAGGGAACTTGTGGCTGGAGGGCCCTAAGCAGAGGCTTGGCTGTCTGAGCCCACGTTGTGGCCACATGGCAGAGTGTGGGCACCAGAGATCTCTTGCCTTTGTCCCTGTTTCATAATGGTGTGAAGAAGGCTCCAGTCACCCACTGTCCAGATAAAGCCCTGTTGGGCGTTCCGGCTGTGTCCCTGACAGCGACTGCCTTTTCAGTCGAGGGACCCCATGAACATTTTTCCTTGTGAAAACTCGGGTGCCCACGGCTGGCCGGTCACCCTGGGTGGGCCCCCGGCCTGCACTGACTGGCCTGTCCCCACAGGGAGCTGGAGGAGCAGCACGGCATCCACTGCAACATGACACTGCTCTTCTCCTTCGCTCAGGCTGTGGCCTGCGCCGAGGCGGGCGTGACGCTCATCTCCCCGTTCGTGGGGCGGATCCTCGACTGGCACGTGGCGAACACAGACAAGAAATCCTACGAGCCCCTGGAGGACCCTGGTGAGAGGCCCTTTGAGGCAGTGGGGGAGAAGACAGCCTCAGGCAGGAAGAGCCACAGATGGGAGCTGCCACGACGACGGGTGGGGGCAGTGCAGGGTCGGGTCAGGGTGGCATGGGGTCCGGGTGGTGTGCGAGCTGTGGTTTGTCCCCGCCCCGGGATGCGGGGTTGGGCGGGGTGGTGGCTGAAGGCCATGCACCGGGAGGGCAGGTGGCTCTGCCTGAGCCCTCCTGGACACAGCTTCGTCTCCTCCCAGGAGTAAAGAGCGTCACCAAAATCTACAACTACTACAAGAAGTTCGGCTACAAGACCATCGTCATGGGCGCCTCCTTCCGCAACACGGGCGAGATCAAGGCGCTGGCCGGCTGTGACTTCCTCACCATCTCGCCCAAGCTCCTGGGGGAGCTGCTCAAAGACAACACCAAGCTGGCGCCTGTGCTCTCAGCCAAGGCGGGTGAGGCCCCAGTGCCGGCTGTGGTGAGGCTGGCGCGGCCCTGCCGCTGTCCTGTGGGTGTGCCGAGGACTGACCCTCCCGCAGGGGGAGCACAGCGGGGAGACAGGAGGGTGGAGTGAGGCTCAGCGCAAGGCTTGGTTTTCCTCACACATTTTACCAGGTCCTTGGCTAAGGCGCTGCGGGCCCAAGACTCACCTCTAGCACAACCCTTAGCAGGTGGCCGAGGGCTGGCCCTGGCGGGAGACGCCGGGCAGCGAGGGCTCAGGGACAGCGGCCCGAGGTGGGCGGGGATGCAGGGTGGGCATGCAAGGTTGTGGCTCGTGTCCCCGCAGCCCAGGCCAGCAACCTGGAGAAGATCCACCTGGATGAGAAGACCTTCCGCTGGCTGCACAACGAGGACCAGATGGCCGTGGAGAAGCTCTCGGACGGCATCCGCAAGTTCGCTGCCGACGCGGTGAAGCTAGAGCAGATGCTGAGGGTGAGTGTCCCTTGAGGGTGCCATGGGCTTGTGAGACTCCAGGCCTGGGCGTGTGAGTCGGGCAGACTCGAAACTTTCTCTGGGGACCCTGGTCTTGGTCACGTGCCACCCAGCAAGAGGCCTGCCGAGGCTGTCCTTGGCTGAGGGTGGCTGGCATTTAGGCATTTAGGCACCAGCGACTCTTGGTGGGTCCTGGCTCCTGTGTGGTGACGTTTGTGGTCCACACATAGCGCAGTCCCGGTGGGCCTCCCTCCTTCCACTTGGGGCCTCGTTGGGCTGCAAGTGCAGACGGCAGGGCCGGTGAGGGCCTAGTGCGACTGACGCCAGGCTCATCTCCAGGAACGGATGTTCAACGCAGAGAACGGGAAGTAGAGCACACCCGACGCGGAGCCCAGATCTGCGCCGTCTGCGAATCGGGGTCTGATTGCACCTGGCTTGGCGATGAATCTCATTTTTTACAATTTGGAGCAGGGATGGATCATAGATTTCTGATTTTATGTAAGATTCTGGCTAATGCATTAAAGCAGTCACTTTTCCTGTGCTGTTTCATTTTGCCGTCCCCCTCGTCCCCTCCGCACCAACTGCCCCGCTGTTGGCTGCGACCTGGGCGACACAGGGAGACTGGGCTGGGTCAGGGCCACAGAGCACTGCCCGCTGTGCTGCCGGGCTGCAAGTCTGGGGGCCTCCCTGGGCAGGGACCTGACTGAGTGCTTCCTCTGTGTGCCCAGGCCTGTGGGGTGCAGAGGGTGGGCCTCTGATGACAGGGGCTCCCAGAACCCCGCCCAGGCACATCGCTGCCAGACCTTTGGAGCCCATCAGACTTCCGAGGTGGGCGGATGTGGATGCACCAGGGGCTGCACGGTGCGTGCCAGCGGCCAACTTGGAGACCACAGCGCAGAAATAAATTTCTCTTTCCTCTTCAAAACACTTGTCCTCATTCTTCTGACGTGGCCTCAGGGACAAGTGCTGAACTTTCAGTAACACTATTGATCTTTGTTTTTTTGAGACAGAGTCTTACTCTGTTGCCCAGGCCAGAGTGCCATGGCGTCAGCCTAGCTCACATCAAACTCCTGGGTTCAAGCGATCCTCCTGCCTTGGTCTCCCAAGTAGCTGGGACTACAGGCATGTGCCACCATGCCCAGCTTATTTTTTCCACATATTTTTAGCTGGCCAATTAATTACTTTTAGTAGAGACTGGGTCTTGCTCAGGCTGGTTTTAAACTCCTGACCTTGAGTGATCCACCTGCTTCAGCCTCCCAGAGTGCTATGATTGCAGGTGTGAACCACCACACCCGGCCTCTTCTGTTTATTTTCATCTTCATAGAGACAAGGTCTGGCCATGTGACGCAGGCTGGTCTTGAACTCCAGGCCTCAAATGATCCTCCTACCTCAACCTCCCAAAGTGCTGGGATTGTAGGTGTGAGCCACCGTGCCTGGCCCACCACTTTCTAAATTTAGAACATTTCCATCACCCCAAAAAGAAACCTCATATACGTCACCCACAGGTGGCCACCAATCTACTTTGTGACCCTGACCTGCATCTTCTGGCTGTGGCACACATGTGGGATCAGACACGAGGCCTTTTGTGACAGGCTATCACTCGGCACTGTTTTCAAGGTCCCCCCACGATACACAGCAATCAGAAGCTCACTCTTTGCTGGGTGTGGTGGTGTCTGTGGTCTCAGCTACTGGGGAGGCTGAGGCGGGAGGATGGTGGGAACCTGGGAGTTAAACTATGGTGAGTATGGCCCTGCCTGTGAACAGCCACTGCACTCCAGCCTGGGCAACAGAGACCTCACTTAAAAAAATTAAAATCTTCTCAAAAAGTTAATTAATTTTTAGACGTGGTCTCACTGTCACCTAGGCTGAAGTGCAGTGCAGAATCACAGCTTACTGCATCCCTGAGCTCCTGCAGGCCTCCCACAAGCGCCAGAGCCACAGGCACGAGCCACCTGGCATGGCCTTTCGTCCCTTTTTCATACTGCGCAGACATCAGCATTAAGGAACACTTACACCGACACCCACCGTATGAAACAATTCACCCACTCGCTGTGAATCCTGTACAAACATTCACCTACCGTCTTTATGGGGCTTTTATTTCTCTCAGGTAGATGAGGGGGGTCTGTTAACACACACTGGGCATGTGGGGAAACCCTCCCCCACCCAGCTGCCACTATTAGGGTTTTACCCCTTTTCTATTCTCTTCTCCAGCCTGGTGGGCCACTCCAGGCCCTGCCTGGCCCCCTGGAGAGGACAAAGTGCAGTGGGGAGGCCCCTGGAGCAGGCCCAGCCCTCGCACGTGGCTGCAGAAGGGACCTGCAGGGCGGCAGAGCCCAGCTCACCTCTCCACACATGCGCTCCTTGGCCTGGAGGGTGACCTCCGTCAGTGGCACTCTGCACCTGTCACCTCTATAATACATCCGGCTATAGTCTGCATGTGTCTCCCCAAAACTTACATGTTGGAATCCCCACCCCTAAGGTGCTGGTTTTGGGAGGCCATTAGGTCATGGGGTTGAGCCCTCAGCAATGGGATTAGTGGAGGTAACTTGATCTTGGGCTTCCCACCTCGAGAACTAGGAGAAATAGATTTCTGTTGTTTTGTGAGCCACCTAATTTATGGTATTTTGTTATAACAGCCTAAATGGACTAAGACATTAAGGCATGATCTTAAATTTGGTCTAAATAAGAAGTCTGTGTCCAGAGACATCGACCACACGGGGTGGGGGTGGAGCAGACGTGGGATGGACCAAGCCCCATGGCCAAGTGCGCAAGAGCATCTTTCTGAGCACGCCCGGAAGACGCTGGAGGGCGGGGGGCCACGGCCTCCGAGCACAGGGACGTGCCTGGCTTCCTTCTTCCACTTTGTGCTGAATTTTCCTTATCAGCAGCTTTATGATCGCCAGGGACCTCCTTCCATCCAGGTCACTGCAGGACAGCATGCCGTCAGACAAGCTGAGCCAGCCAGGGAGGTGGGCGGGAGAAGGTGAAGGGACCAACTCAGGGTCGGGGGACGAGGGGGCCTGAGCCACTCGCAGAGGCCCTACTCTGGGACCAAGGGGCAGCCCCGGGGGCTGAGTGAGCAGGCCCAGGAGGGAAGCGGGTTCCCAGTGAAGGCCTGTCCAGGGTCTGGGAGGCGGGGCTGGCGGCCGTCCACTCCGGCCAGGGCTGTGGGGAGCGGCAACCTGCTCGCGGAGAACCTCATGGCGGTATGTTCACAGCCAAACTAGCTTCCCCACAGTGCTTGCATGGGACAGGCAACACCACTGCATCCACCCTGAGGTGCCCGGGTACCATCCCAGAGCTCAGATGGGGTTCCCGTTACATTCTGAAACCACACACCAGGCAGGAGTTCAAGTTAGGGCGGTTTCTTCTGCAGAAAAGTGCTGCCAACACCAGCCTATCTGGGGACAGGAGGCCGCACCTACCAGAAGCTTCCCTGTCCACCTCTGGCCAAGATGAGTTCTGAGCCGGGTCCCCCAAGGCCCTGGCAGCTAAATGGTGGTGGGCACCAGAGCAAGCCCCCACCCAGGACTCCTGCCGCCAGCACAGCGCCTGCAGGGCCTGGGTCTCGTCTCTGCCTCCTACCTGAGGAAACATGCAGGGGGCTGGGGGCTCAGTCCCTCCACCTGAGAGCTGACACCCCCACAGCTCATTCCAGGAGTCCTGACGATCCCGTTGGGACCAGACCGCCCTGTCATGGAGGGCCGAGGGTCTCTCGCTGGGAGGGAAGAGGCAGGGTCCCTGGAGGCCCATGGCGGCGGACACTTGGGCTATCTGCAGGTGGTGGCGGCCACCCAGCAGCCTCATTTCCTGTAGGATGGACACGTGGTCAGGGCTCGGTCACCAGCACGCAGCTCGTCACCGCCCATGTGGCCGTGGCCCCGTAAAGAAGCTGGTCGAGCAGGAACCCGCCCCCACTGGTCCCCTCACCGGCTGCCGCAGAGGAAGATCAGATTCTGCACGGCAGGGACGGTGGAGCTGGCGTTCTGGCCGGTGACGAGGTGGCGGTCCAGCACGACGTGTGTGGCATCAGGCTCGCTAGCTGAGCAGGACCAAGGACACTGGCCTCAGGAGAGCCGCCACGATGCACCCCCTCCTACTCGGCTGGCTCCAGGCGGGCGCCAGTGGGTCAGCCTGCCCAGGTCACCCGCCACCCGCCACAGGGCACACAGGAGGCACGGTGAGGAGGTGGCCCAGCGAGGAGGTGGCCCGGCTGGGTGTCTGCAGGCTGCAGCAGGAAGCCCCCACCCCCTCCCCTGTGAGTGCGGGGGCGCCCTTGGGGGCTCACCACTGAAGCTGGCACCCGAGTCCTTCACGAAGTCCTCCACGATGAGCGGCAGGTGGGCGAAGCCGGGGGCCCTGACAAGCTCACACACCGGGGGCTGGGGGGAGGACATGGGGCGCCCTGAGCCAGGACAGCCGCCCCCAGCACCACCCCTGCCCCTGAGGCTGACCCCAGGTGTCAGGAGGTCAAGTCCTCAGGGAGCTTCAGCTACCACATGGGGGCAGGGTGGGGGTGTCCCTGCTCATGGCAGATACAAGGCTGCAGGGGCTGGAGTCAAAGGCTGGCCGTCTCCCCCGTGGGGTGTCCTCAGGGCAGGGACTGGCTCCCCCAGCATTGGAGCGCACAGCTGACCAGAACGACACGGGCTGGAGGCCTAGGCCTCAGGGGTGAGCCTCGCGGTGGGCAGAGGGCTGGGGCAGGGTAGACGCAGTGTCTGTAGGCGCCAGTCCGACCCCAGGCTCACAAGAGGGGGTCACGGCCACTTGGACCCGAGACCATGGGTGTCTCCCCTCAGAGGGCAGCTCTGAGCACCCACTGAGGAGCCCCTCAGCAGGGAAGGTGACATCCCAGCTGGGTGGGGCAAGGGGGGCCAGCGACTCAGGACCTCTGCACCAGCTAGTCCTGCTGCCCCAGGTGTCCCGAGCCCACGTCACTGCCGAGGGTCTCAGACTGACCACCAGATCTCTGCGTTTCGGGGACATGCCCCACAGGGCTCTGAGCACCCTGACTGGGCCCACATGTAGCTGCTGCCCACACCCCTCCCAGCGTCCACTGTCGTGTGCCCTGGGCTGTGGGAGCCCCAGGCCGCAGCTGGGGGAGGGGCTCTGGAGTCTCAACCCTCATCCCAGGCTGGGGGCAGGCAGAGTAGGTGACACAGAGACTCTCCCATGACGCCCCACACCCCATCCCAGAGGGCCCCCAGCCTGTCTCCTGCCATCGACAGCCAAGGTCCCAATCATCCCAAGCCAGGTGGGAGAACACGTGTTCTCAATTCAAGAAGAGAGAGCAGCCCCAGCCAAACGGGGACAACAGGGACCTGGGCCCAGCAGGAATCTGCCGGGGGGGCCGACCCAGGACGGCGGCCTGCGCCTCAAGGCACTCACCCCTGTCAGGCTATAGCCGTGGAACACCCAGGACCTGTCCTCATTGGTGGCACAGCACAGGGCGGCGACGCCGTGACCGACGGCACAGATGGGCTCTGGAAGCAGCAGGCATGGCAGGGCTGAGGCCTGACACCGGAGCCAGGCAGCACCCTCCCCCTGGGAACCACCGCAAGCTGCTGCTTCAGGACCAGGCTCTGGCTGAGCGCCCAAGCTCCACTGCCGGGTGCTCCAGGCCAACTCCAAGTGCACAGCCATCCCGGGCTGCTACGGTGGCAGCGCCCTGGGAAAGGCCCCTGCAGGGCCACAAAGAGGGGGCCCCTGTGTGGGTGGCGGTGGTGCCCGTGCCCTGCAGTGGGACCACTCTGACGCCTCCCCAAAGGCTGCCTGGAACTAGTCTAGTGCGTCCCCACGGCTGAGCGGCCAGGAACAATCGCCACCTGTCCAGGCGCTGCTGGGGACGGAGGCCCTGCTCCCGCTGATGGGGGTGCTGCGCAGAACCCCAGCCCCAGGGAACACCCACGCCCGGCAGACAGGCTCCTCACAGCTGGCCTGGCCATGGCAGCCGCCAGGGCTCCTCAGAGCAGCCTTCCGCCCAGGCCCCGCTGGCCTGGAACCCCAAACCCCAGCCCGGATGCCACGCTTTCCCCCAGGAACCGGGCCAGCATCCCGCCTCACTCCTGGGGGGCCGGGAGGGCATGGCCACCACCCTCTTAGGAGCTGGCAGGCTCACAGGGGTGACGGGAAGGAGACAGTGCCTGTGTGGACAGCAGAGCAAACTCGCCACGTGGGTCAGAACCACTGAGGCTCTCTGCACCGAGCATTTCCAGATCCAAACCTGACCACCCTACACCCTCAGTGGTCACTGCCACCCACCCCCAGCTGTTGGGTGGCCTGACCAGAGATCCACAAGCGCCCCCACCCCCCAGATATCTTCCTGCCTCTTCTGCTGGCAGACCAGTTCCTCCACCCGGCCCCCAAGCCCCCGGGGCCACCTACTGCTCTCAGAGTGGAAGTGCTGCAGGATGCGCGCCAGGGACCCGCTGTTGGCCAGGTCGACCAGGGCCCCAGGACAGCTGGGGATCAGGAGGGCGTGGTACCGGGCACCTGGGGGGAGGCCACACGTCAGTTGCGGAAAGAGGCTGCATGGCCAGGGCAGACCCTCCACAGGGACCAGCTGGCCAGGTGACACCACTGGTTGCTTTTCCTGAATGGGCTATGGCTCCGAAGGGCCACACCACATTCCCGTGGGCCATTCTGACTTCCCGTCTCCATGTACCCACAAGTTTCCCCCAGGGGAGCCCAGGAACCCAGGACAGGGGCTGGAGACCACCCCAGATGGTCACAGCACTCCATGGCTTCTGGGGCAGAGCGGGGAACTTGCTGAAACCCCGAAGCCATCTGGAACCTCAGGGGTGGGGGAGGAATATGGCCTACCAAGCAAGGAGGGGTCCTGGACTCACCGTCAATGGACTCCAGCTTCGCAGGGCTGGCGTAGGCCTTCAGGCGGAAGTCCTGCACCCAGCGGGCATTGCTCTCCGTCACACCCACGAAGTCCATGGCCTTGCCCTGCAGGAGCAAGCGTGGAGGGTGAGCAGGGCCACCCCACAGAGGCATCAGCGGGAGCCTGGCAACACTCATGCAGGGCTGTGACCCAGCAGCATCCCCTCGGGGCTCAAAGGCACCTGATGGCTTAGCCACCTTCGCCGGGCTTCCCAGGTGGGGGGCTTCTGTGGCCACTGAGCCTGTCCCAGCAGCAGCTGGCAGTGGCCAAGGAAGGCCCAATGAGTAGGACCTCCATGCATGGTGGCCGAGCACAGTCCCCCATCTGAGGGCTCTCACCCAGGCTCTCACCACAGCTCCCCACCCCTTGCTCCCTCTTGGCCCTCAGTCTCCTGCCTATGCAGTGGCAGCAACTGTCCCACTCACCTTGGAGGTGACTCAAATGTGCAGTGACAAATACGTACTGCATCCTCACTATGACCCAGCTCTATCTGATACCCCTGGGTCTCCTGGCACCACAGGGCCGAGAATCCCCCAGTGGAAACATCTGCACCTCCCCACAGGGGGCTGAGCCTCATCTCAGCACACACATGCGCACACCTGTACAGAAACGCCCCCATTCTGACAAGTGGCTCAGAGCCCAGGAAGAGCGGAGAGTTCCCACTCCTCCCACAGAGTGCCGGACCTCTCCAAGTATCCAAGGAGGGGGCAGCGGCTGGACTTACCCCAGGGGTGGCCACCTGCAGGTTGAAGGCGGCGCTGGCCATTGTGAAGCAATGGAGGAAGGACTGGGCTGACACACCTGCAGAAGGATCCCAGGTAGGTACACACATGACAGGGCCAGTCTGCTCCCCAAGACCCTCCCCCAGATCCCCCCACTCCAGGGGCCCATCTCTCAAAACCCTGGGGCAGAGGGGCACAGCCAGGTCTGTGCTCTGCCAGCTCCAGCCCATTGGCCCCCGACAGACACTCAAGCCAACCAGGGGCCCGGCATGCCCCAGGGTGGGCTGTCCTCCCAGCCTGGCAGCTCTACCTTCCAGTCCCTAGTGACAACTAGGGACAGGACCCAGCCCATCTCAAGTGTCCATCACACACACACCCCTCACACCCCAACTCCTGGCCTCAACCCACCAGGGTTGGCCCCAAGGGAAGGCCTCTGCGGGAAACAAACCAGAGGGTGAGATTCAATTACACTCTGCTCATGCACTCACTGAACCACCAGGGACTGAGGCCCCCAGTCCCCAAGCTGGACCAGGGAATGGCAGCAGTGACCAGACTGTCCCATAGAGTGCAGGCGTGTCCTGACTCCACCCCACTCCCTCCAGGAAGAACACTCAGGACTCCTTGCCTCAACCGAGCTCTGGGATTCTGCCCTCCCGATGTACTCAGCCCCCTTCTGCCCATCAAAGGACTCTTAATAAATAAATAAATAAGCCAACATCACACCCAGTTCTGAAGGCAATCGCATAGGCTCTGGGGGCTGCAGCCCACCGGGGGAAAGGCAAGCCCTGCCCACTCGCACTGTCAGAGAGCACAAACCACAGGTGTGTTTCTTTTCTTTTCTTTGAGACAGAGTCTCACCCCGTTGCCCCAGCTACACTGGCGTGGCGTCAGCCTAGCTCATGGCAACCTCAAACTCCTGGGCTCAAGCGATCCTCCTGGCTCAGCCTCCCAAGTAGCTGGGACTACAGGACCATGTCAGGATGCCCAGCTGATTTTTTCTTCCTTTCTTTTCTTTTTTTTTTTTTTTGGTAGAGATCAGGTCTTGCTCTTGACTCAGGCTGGTCACAAACTCCTGACCCCAAGCAATCCTCCTGCTCCGTCATCCCAGAATGCGAGGATTACAGGCCCCACAAGTATATTTCTTAAGTGGCATGGTCAACTTCTTTCTACATTTTTTCTAATCCTGGGATCCAATTCCCTAAACCGAATTTTCCATAAATTAACACAAACTCGTTGCAAAATGTTTGTATATCAAGGAAAAACAAAGTCTCCCCCAAATATCCCCCAGACTCTGCCCCATGGGCATTTTCTCCAACTCTTACTTGCTGGCACTTCCTGAAGTGCTGCCCACCAAGCCTACTGGCCTTTTCAGATCTATGTCCTGAACGTGCCTACCCTGGGGCACAGCCCACTTGCCGTGACCCCTCCTCACCCACCTGCTCCCACCTGCCTCCCCTGGAGATAAGCCCCAACCCCCTTTTCCAGAAATAAACCCCACTCATGGCTCCTCCCGCCCAGTCTGGGGCCCACCACTCGGGGCCACTGACGCTCCGCAGGCCGTGGCCTCAACTCCGTCGTCACCTGTCCCCTGCCCACACTGAGGAGCATAGACTCCCTAAGACTCCTGGGTCCCCACCTCCTGGGTCCCCACCTGCGGTATGTCCCCCTCCGACAGGGAGAACACAGGTGAGGCTCTGCAAAGGGCTCAGCTCTCATCCTCCCCCTCCCCCGCCGAGCGCCTGGGCCCCCCCGAGCCCCAGCGGCATCGGTGCCCGCGACAGGGACCCCCACCAGCCACCCCATCCCGCGTGAGCCCCAGGCCAGCTGACCCTGGTGCCCAGGGGCGCGCGGCCTGGCCGTCTCGTCACACCGACAGCCCCTTCCCGGACCCTCCGCCCGAGCCCGGAGCAGCGGTCAGCTCCTCGGAGCCGCCTCGCCGCTCCCTCCGCCCCCAGGGGCTGCCGCCGCCGGCCCGAGCGCGGTCTCCGCGACGGCAGCGCCCCAGAGGCAGGCCCCCGGCCGGCCCGCGCCCCCGGCCGCGCTTCTTCCCGGCACCGCCGTGACTCCCGCCCGCGGTCCCCAGGCCGACGACCCCGGAGCCCGCCCGGCAGCGTCCCCGCGGACCTCGCCCCCTCACCTTCGGCGGCGCCGCTGGCCACCAGCAGGCAGGCAGGCCGGCTCGGGAGCCGCTCGGACGCCATGGCGCGGGGACACCGCCCAGCCTGCGCGTGCGCGGGGCGTGCGTGCGTGCGCGGGGCGTGGGCGCGCACGTCCGGGAGGCCGCGGGTCACGTGCCGGGGCGGGGCATGCGCATGCGCATGTCTCTCCGGCGGCGTCAGCTTGTGCGCTGAGTTCCGAGCGGGTCTCCTGCGCGTGCGCCTCAGACCCCGAGCGGACCCGGCCGGCTGTGTCGCAGCCTGGGCACCTTCGCTAGGCAGGGGGCGCCTGCAGCCAGCGCCGGCCGGGGCGAGCGGGGGCGGAGAGCAGCCCCTGCCCCGGGACGCCGGCGTCCGGTCACGGAGGGCCACCTGTGCCAGCCCCCAGGCGCCGGGGACGCGACACCCGCGCTACCGGGCACAGCGCCCTGCCCTGGGCGCACGGCCGGGGGTGGGAGCCCGTCCGAGGGCGCAGGGGAAGCTAGCAGCGGCCGGCCGTTAGCTGAGAGGACAACGGGGAGGCGAGGGCGACAGGCCACGTGCGTGCAGGCTGGGGGCCCGAGTGGCCGTCCCTGCTCAGGTGCACCTGCGGGGGCTCTCAGGCATCCAGGGAGGCGCCGTGGGGTGGATGGGTTCCGCCTGGCCAGGGCAGTTGGGGGGTGACAGGTGTCCAGGGTCACTCGGGTTTGGGCTGAACTCCTGGGAAAATGAGGGTGCCACTTCTCGAGATGGGGGCACCCCAGGAATAATGAGTTTGGTGAGCAAAATCCAGGGCGCTGTTGGGCCAAGTTGCATTTGGAGCAGTTGTTCCTGGAGTGCAGTTGGTTGCAGGTGTCCGTGGGGTTGGTCAGCCTGCCCGGGTGAGCCTCCCCACCCCAGGGTCAAATTTTGAGATCCTGATGGTGGGGCTTGCACACCTCCCTGAGCGTGGAGTTCTGTGTGCTGTTACTATACCTGGTGCCCCGGTGGGGCAGAGGGAGGCCTGGGGACCAGGCACCAGGGGCTCTGCCCAGCAGGTGGTGATGCCCGCCTTTGGAAACCCTGAGATGGCAGGTGTGGGAGGATCCCAGGCCGTGTTGCCGTGCAGCAGTGAAGGGTTTTGTTGTTCCTTTCTCTAGAACTTGCACATGTTGGGATCTGTTCCGGGGGGGACTTCTGCCCTGCAGAGCTGGCCCACAGCCCTGGATCTCCAGTCACCCCTGCTGTCCTTCTTGGTGAACTCCCCCTTTTTGGAGCATGCCTGAGCGTTTCCCTGGGTGCGTTTGCACTTGCCACTTCTCCCTCCACCTGAAATGCTATAGCTCCTCTCTGCTCATCATCCTCAGCATCCCTCAAAGCCTGTGGGCACCAGAGGCATTGTCTGGCCAGTACAGTACTCCTTCAGTGTCTGAGAGAGATTGGTTCCAGGACACCTGCAGATTCCAAATGCCTTGAGTGGCCCATGCCCCAGGGCCCAGATGCATCTCTGTCCCCAGTAGGTGCAGGCCGGGCTCTCTCTGACGAAGGCTGGGCTGGTGGAGTCTGAGACTTAACACCTGTGAGTCACACAGACCAGAGTGTGGAGCAGAGGGCAGTAAGTGATAGCCCCAGGGCAGTGGCTGCTTCACCCAGGGAGGGCCATTGGCAGTACCACAAGTGCCAGGGCAGTGGGCTCCAGCATCTGCCCCTGGCCAGCTGGTCAGAAGACGTCAGACATGGGAGCAGGTGGTGGCCTGTGCCCTGGAGAGAATGCTGTGACAAGGGGGCAGGCCTATTCCAGGTGGCCCAGGACAGCAGGTGGATGGGGAGCAGCCGGGACCCAGGAAGATGCCGAGGGGTTGGTCAGACAGGCTCCTCTCAGACACGTTGGTTCCGATGGGCTTGGGGGAGACCCCCCTACTCACTGTCGCCTCTGCCCACGTGTCAGGGCTGCGCCCCCGGAATGACACCTGAGCCCTCACTGCACCCCTACAAGATGCACACACTTTTCTCCTGCCAGGACAGGTTCCCAAGCTGGGGCAAGCAGGCAGCATAGCTCCTCACGCTGGTCCACGAACACTAGCTCTGCCTGGGCCCAAAGACACCAGGCAAGAGTCAGACCAGGCACCCAGGACTGGTCTCTGCCGTGCAGGGAGCCAGGTCTCTGCCCGTGCAGCCTGGGACCAGGTGTGAGAGTGGGCAGGCCTGGGCCCAGAGGAACGCTGAACACCCGGGTGTCAGAGGCCGAGACCTGCAGCATCCAGGAAGGGAGCCTGGAGCAGTGAGGGCTGCCACACCTGCCCTTTCTCGGGCCTTGGTGACAGTGTCCCATATGTGGCACAGGCTGGGAGGTGTCCAACAGGCACCCAGGATGCACCCCAGGGTGGGAACCTCCATGTGGAGGTGCTGGAGGGAGGGGAACAGGGCGGAACGTTCCCAGCCCACTCGTGTCTGCAGTCGTGTATCACAGCCACGGGGCCCTAGAAGCCCATGTAGTGTGAGGACAAGGGACCTAAGGTGCTGGCCTAGGAGCGCAGAGAGCAAGACTCAGGGTCTCGGGGCAGTTCATGTAGAGTCCGGGGGCCAGGGCTCCCTCCGACACCTCTGTCCCTGGAGATCATGCTACGCATCTGAATTTTCCTATTTTCCAGATTTGCTTGCAAGTTTGTTTCACATCATGAATTTTCTATACACGACTGCTTAAAACATCTGGTATTTGTTTAGACCTTAAAAACAGTTCTGTATCCAAAGAACATGAATGTAGAAAAATAAAAAAAAAACAAAAACAAAAAAAAAACAGTTCTGTACTAAAAATTAAACTAGCCCTGGGCATCCCAGATAATTTTTTTTTTTTTTGAGACAGTTTTACTCCTACTCAGTCACCCCTGCTAGAGTGCAATGGCATCATCATAGCTTACTGCAACCTCAAACTCCTGGGCTCCAGTGATCCTCCTGCCTCAGCCTCCCAAATAGATGGGACTACAGGCATGCGCCACCATGCCCGTCTGACTTTTTCTATTTTTAGTTGCCTAGCTAAATTTTTCTATTTCTTTCTTTCTTTTTTTTTTTTTTTAAGTGGAGACAGGTCTCATTCTTCTCAGGCTGGTCTTGAACTTCTGAGCTCAAGTGATCCTCCCGCCTCGGCCTCCCAGAGTGCTGGGATTACAGGCATGAGCCACCGTGCCCGGCCTCCAGAGAATTTCTTTATTGCTTCTGGAAGAAGTTCGTGCGTTACTCATATTTAGGGACCACAAGAAGGAGAAGCTGAGCCTCAGGGGCAGGGTGGGTCAGTGCGGACAGAGGGAAGCGCCTAGAAGAGGCACTGGCCAGACCTCAAGTGCCCACCAGGCAAGGCACCTGGCTCTCAGGCCCCACCCGGTACAAGATAGGAGGCCACATGCAGTGGTGCTTAAGATGCACTCGCTGCATGAGGCCCTGCAGTGCCCCAGACAATGGCAGTTCCTGCACATCCATTTCACAACAGAGATAGTCACAAGAGCCAAGGGGTAGGGGCCAGGCCAAGTGGCTCACGCCTGTAATCCTAACACTCTGGGAGGCCTTGAGAGGGCAGGTCGCTCAAGGTCAGGGGTTGGAGACCAGCCTGAGCAAGAGCGAGACTCCATCTCTACTAAAAATAGAAAGAAATTAATTAGCCAACTAATATATATATAGAGAGAGAGAGAGAGAAAAAAGAATTAGCCGGGCATGGTGGCACATGCCTGTAGTCCCAGCTACTCGGGAGGCTGAGGCAGGAGGATCGCTTGAGCCCAGGAGTTTGAGGTTGCTGTGAGCTAGGCTGACGCCAGGGCACTCACTCTAGCCCTGGCAACAGAGTGAGACTCTGTCTCAAAAAAAAAAAAAAGAAAAAAGAAAGAAAGAAACATTTAATAGGGACTTAAGAATAGAAGGCATGTCCCTTCTGGCCGGGAGAGAAGACAGTGGGTCCCTGTGCCACCCACCCCCGCCAGACCCAGAGCTGGAGCAACCAGAGAAGTAAATTTTGCTCATGAAAGTATACTTTACCCAGTTTCTCTAAGCCATAACTAGCTGAGAAGGAAACAGGTTTTCTACAGAGCCGCCATACCAGATGTCTGTTCAACTTCTATCTGCCATCCGCAAACCAAGCGACCCTGCTGGCAGGCGAGAGCTCTCTGTGGGGTCTCCAGCAGCTCCTCCCAGGGCTCCAGAGTCAGCCCTGGGGGCCAGAAGGGCCCCCTGCTTGTTAGTGTCACCCCTTTGCACTCCCCAGGTAGCAGGATCCTGCACAAACCACTTCTGCTGGACTGTGGGACAGGCACCGTAATCCCCATCGGTGTTGCTCTGACATCACCAAGACCTCAAGGTGTTTCAGGTGTGTGAAATAAAATAAAATTTTAAAGCTCACGCCCCCCCCCCCATCGGCTGACTGAATGGGCCCCATCGTGGCCAAAGGAATATTGCAAAATTCTCTGCCAGGGACAGGAGAGGCATGGGGGCTCACACCTGTAATCCTAGCACTCTGGGAGGCCGAGGCAGGAAGATCACTCGAGGTCAGGAGTTCGAAACCTGCCTGAGCAAGAGCGAGACCCCATCTTTACTAAAAAAAATACAAAGAAATTAACTGGACAACTAAAAATGTATATAAAGAATTAGCCGGGCATGGTGGCGCATGCCTGTAGTCCCAGCTACTCGGGAGGCTGAGGCAGGAGGATTGCTTGAGCCCAGGAGTTTGAGGTTGCTGTGAGCTAGGCTGACGCCACGGCACTCACTATAGCCCAGGCAACAAAGTGAGACTCGGTCTCAAAAAGAAAAAAAAAAATTTTTGTCTGCCAGGAGGAGGAAGGTCAGAAATGCCTTACACCCCTCACCCTTTTTGGAAACATCCTTAGTAACCCATTAACAGGCCTACAGGTCCTCGGTTTACACAACAAATCTATGTCTGGTGGCTTCTCTCTGGTAAACAGCTCCTCATATTGAAACATTCCAAGCCTCTAGACAGAACTTCATGTCTTTAACCAATTACAAGCCAGAAAATCTTGAAACCCACCTATAACCTATAAGCCCCTGCTCGTAGGGGACCACCTTTCCGGGCCAAGCCAATGAACGCCTCCCATGTATTGATTGATGACTTTGCCTGTAACCCCTGT